AGCCTGTTTGGAGTGGGATGGAATAGTTTCTACTTCTTTTCTTTCTTTGCTTTTTTTTTTTTAGACCTGTCTTACTCTGTTGCCCTGGCTAGAGTGCAGTGGTGTGATCTCAGCTCATTGCAACTGGTGCCTCCCAAGTTCAAGCAATTCTCATGCCTCAGCCTCCCCAGTAGCTGGGACTACAGGTGCGGGCCATCATGCCCAGCTAATTTTTGTATTTTTAATAAAGACAGAGTTTCACCACTTTGGCCAGGCTGGTCTCAAATTCCTGACCTTGTGATCTGCCTTGGAACCTCAAAGTTCTGGGATTACAGGCATGAGCCACTTCGTCCAAACTTTTCTTTAGTCTTTACCTGTTTTCTAAACACAAAGCAACAGAAAAACTTCTGCTTCAAATGCATGACTCAGGTCTGGAATTCAAGTTGCTGCTATCTTAGGAAAAAAGCTGCCTGTAGTGTTTTTGAAATTTCCTATTCTCCTGCCTGTGATTAACTCATGCAAAGTTTTATCATCAGAAATTATCAATAAAATGAAGTTAATGATCTAGTAATAAGAAAAGAACCAGCACAAGAAAGTACTCAGAATTACATTTTTTCCCTATGCATTTGTAAGTATTGAACATGTCTGGTGGCTCACAGGTGTAATACCAGCACTTTGGGAGGCAGAGGCAGGCAGATCACCTGAGGTTAGGAATTCAAGACCAGCCTGGACAACATGGTGAAACCCCGTCTCTACTAAAAATACAAAAATTACCGGGTCATGGTGGCATGTGCCTATAATCCTAGCTGCTTGGGAGACTGAGGCAGGAGAATCGCTTGAACCCAGGGGGTGGAGGTTGCAGTGCGCTGAGGTCGCACCACTGCACTCCAGCTTGGAGACACAGTGAGACTCTGTCTCAAAAAAAAAAAAAAAAAAAAAAAATTCTGGAAAGAAGTAGCTGAAAATATTAAAAGGAGTTATATCTAGGTAAGAGTGTGTTGATCTCTGTTCTTTTTGCTTTTCCATCTTTTCTAAATATTCTACTATGTGCAAATATTATTCTTGAACTCAGAAAAGCAAATAATATTTTCTTTAAAGTTACTAATATTAGGCAAAGCAAATAGCTCAACTATACATTTGTGATAATCCTCTTAGCCTATTACGTGTTGAGTAACATATTCTAGTTTGGCTTTCCTTGTTAGCCAAAGATTTCATTATTTTGCAGCTTAAGTCGTTTATTTCTAGTTTCTTAAGGTGGGGAGGAGGTGAGGAGGTGAGAAGGGTGAAGAAGCAAATTCAACTTCAGTAAAACAGGGCGTGCAGCCGTTTCCCCTGAGTCCCTTTGTCTCAAGGCCCCTGTGTTCCGGGTCTTTTGTTCTCTGCATGGACTTTGTATTCGAGATTTGAAGAAAAACAAGTGCTGGCCCTCCTTGCGCCCTCTGGTGTCCCAATGAGGTATAACCGGACAAACCCCACAAAGATCACAGCCATTTTCACCCAGCGCTCTCCCGACACAGTGGTGCCTGGAGACGGGAATGTCTGGAATCTTAGAGGAGGGAATCGTACACCGACAAGCACGGCAGGCTTAGTCTTTGAAACTTAATCAGAGCCTGTAAGTATGGATACTTTTGAAAAAAAATTAAAAGCAGTATCTGGACTGCAAGTATTTAAAAAACCTAATAGCAAATAAGTCAATTCTCAAAGTATTTGGCACAGCTTTCTGGGTTCTAAAACTAAGAAAATCTTACTAGATATGCTGTTTTATAAATACAGCATAAACCAGTACTTTGTTATTTGCTTTTAAAATTTCTTTTAGAGACAGGGTCTTGCTTTGTCACCCAGGCAGCAGAGCAGTGGTGCAATCTTAGCTCAATGCAGCCTCGAATCCAGGCCTCAGGTGATCCTCCCTGCTTCTGCCTCCCAAAGGGCTGGGATTACAGGTGTGAGCCACTGTGCCTGGCCTAGCACTTTGGGTTAATTGCAAATAAATTAGGTGAAAGAGGTCTGGATACCTAGGCTTCAGCTTGACTGAGGATAGTGATTTCTTCAACTTTAAGCTTTGCCATGTAAACCAAAAATAAAATTCTAAGCTCCCCAACCAACTGAATGAATGCTTCCTTGTCCAAGGGCATTCCAAAGTTACCCGAAACACTAGTTCATGCCGTGATGAGAACAGGTGGTCAGACAAGCCTCATTATATTCTCCTCCCTTTGGGATTCACATACATCTGACCAGCATTAACATTAAACCAGAGACCTTGAGTCTGACAAAGCAGGCTTTTTTTTTTTTTTTTTTTAGACGGAGTTTCGCTCTTGTTACCCAGGCTGGAGTGCAATGGCGCGATCTCGGCTCACCGCAACCTCCGCGTCCTGGGTTCAGGCAATTCTCCTGCCTCAGCCTCCTGAGTAAGTGGGATTACAGGCACGCACCGCCACGCCCAGCTAATTTTTTGTATTTTTAGTAGAGACGGGGTTTCACCGTGTTGACCAGGATGGTCTCGATCTCTTGACCTCGTGATCCACCCGCCTCGGCCTCCCAAAGTGCTGGGATTACAGGCTTGAGCCACCGCGCCCGGCCTCAAAGCAGGCTTTTTGTAGCAGTAAGACACCAACATGACAGACAGCAGGCCCTGAAGTAAATTGAAGTATTTTACCCATGTATATATATACACATTTATAATTATATAATTAAATGTATATATACATATATACACATATGTATATGTGTATATATATATTTGACACATTTTGAAATGGGCCTGCAGAGGTGTCTCTTGTGGGGAATATCTGCTTTCGGTAGAGAATTGCCTTCCCTTTCCAGATCTTTTTCCTTAACCAGGAGAGAATCACCTAAGAGTCTTGCACCTTAAAAAGGTAAAAAAAAAAAAATTTTACAATCTGGCCTGGTGCAGTGGCTTACACATGAAATCCCAGCACTATGGGATGCTGAGGCAGGTGGGTTGCTTGAGCCCAGGAGGTCAAGACAAGCCTGAACAACATGGTGAAACTCTGTCTCTACTAAAAATACAAAAATTACCTGGGCGTAGTGGCGCATGCACCTGTAATCTCAGCTACTCCTGAGGCTGAGAGGTATGAGGATGACTTGAGCCTGGGAGGTGGAGGCTGCAGTGAGCTGAGATTGTGCCATTGCACTCCAGCCGGGGTGATGGAGTGAGACCCAGAAATATTTACTATCTGTTTTCTTTGAAGCCTGCTACCTGGAGGTTTTATCTGCATAGTAAGAACCTTGGTTTTTGAGGCTGAGCGCGGTGGCTCACACCCGTAATGCCAGCACTTTGGGAGGCTGAGGGGGTTGGATCACGAGGTAGGGAGTTCAAGACCAGCCTGGCCAACATGGTGAAAACTCATCTCTACTAAAAATACAAAAATTAGCCTGGCGTGGTAGTGCGTACCTGTAGTCCCAGCTACTTGGGAGGCTGAGGCAGGAGAATCACTTGAACAGTAGGCAGAAGTTGCAGTGAGCCGAGATTGTGCCACTGCACTCCAGCCTGGGTGACAGAGTGAGACTCTGTCTCAAAAAAAAAAAAAAAGAACTTTGGTCCCTGTCCCTTATCTTCACCCAGGCACTCCCTTCTATAGATATCAAACTCTTTCAACTAACTGCCAGTCAGAAAATCTTTGAATCCACCCATCACCTGGAAACTCCCCATCTACCTTCATTCAACATGGAGTTGTCCCACCTTTTTGGAGGGAACGAATATATATTTTACATGTATTGATTGATGTCTTATGTCTCTCTAAAATGTATAATAAAAAGCTGTAGCCCGACCACCTTGGGCACATGTTCTCAGGATCTCCTGGGGCTGTGTCACTGGTCATGGTCACTCATATTTGTCTCAGAATAAGTCTCCTCAAATATTTTACAGAGTTTAACTCTTTTCTTCATCGACAATCAATATGTGAGAGTTGATACTGAAGGCTCCTTTTGTCTATAATATACTTTATTCTGTCGCATTTTTCACCAAGCTGTTTTGTTTATTTTTAATAGAGATGAGATCTCACTTTGTTCCACAGTCTGGTCTCTTGGGCTTAAGAGATCCTCCCTCCTCAGCCTTCTAAAATGCTGGAATTACATGTGTGAGCCCCGACCGTCAAACTCTGCCTTTTTTTTTTTTTTTTTTGAGCTGAAGTCACTCTGTCAACCAGGCTGGAGCATAGCGGCATGATCTTGGCTCACTGCAACCTCCACCTCCTGGGTTCAAACAATTCTCCCTATCTTAGCCTTCTGAGCAGCTGAGTAGCTAGACATGGTCTGCCACCATGCCTGGCTAACAGGCGGTGTCTGACACCTGTATTTTTGCATTTTTAGTAGAGACAGGGTTTTGCCATGTTGGGCAGGCTGGTCTCGAACTCCTGACCTCAAGTGATCTGCCTGCCTCAGTCTCCCAAAATGCTGGGATTACAGGTGTCAGCCACCGCCTGTAATGAATGAACGCCCTTGGACAAGGGCAGATTTGCCTCTGGCCAAACTGTGCTTTTTAAAATTATATTTCCACTAAAAAATGTAGATGTAAAATATTTTTGGTTTAAATATTTGACTGATAAGATCTCAGGCATTAGGTCAGGTGTGGTCTGGCCTGAGGTCCTGAGGTCAGCCGTTCGAGACCAGCCTGGTCAACATGGTGAAACCCCATCTCTACTAAAAATATAAAAATTAGCCGGGCATGGTGGCACGTGCCTGTAATCCCAGCTACTTGGGAGGCTGAGGCAGGAGAATCACTTGAACCGGGGAGCGGAGATTGCAGTAAGCTGAGATTGTGCCACTGAATTCCAGCCTGGGTGACAGTGCAAGACTGTCTAAAAAAAAATCCCCAAAAAACAATAAAACCCCCAAAAATCAAACAAACAAAATCTCAGGCATTACAGTTTTATTTGAATAAGCAATTTATGCACATAGAAAAAAATTCCAAAAGTACCAGAAGGTATACAGAGGAAAGTCTCTCTTCCTTTTTTTTTTGTTCGATGTAACCCGTATGAGACATGTCTCTTTCTGTGGCCCAGGACGGAGTACAGTGGAATGATCCTGGCTTGTTGCAAACTCTGCTTCCCGGGCTTAAGTGATTCTTCTGCCTCAGCCTATGGAGTAGCTGGAATTACAGGCATGCCACCACGCCTGGGTAAGTTTTGTATTTTTTAGTAAAGATGGAGTTTCACCAGGTTGGCCAGGCTGGTCTTGAACTCCTGGCCTCAAGTGATCTGCCTGCCTCGGCCTCCCAAATCGCTGGGATTACAGGTGTCAGCCACTGTGCCCAGCTTCTCTCTCATTTCTAATTCATAAAAATTCTCTTAAGTGATGTCGAGTTGATCTGGCGGCTCAACAAGGCCATCAGAGGCTTTGGGTGCTCTCTTCTTGTTCTGGGTCTTTCTTCTCTGCTAACTTTAGCAAAGGAACGTTTCTTTTTCATGATTGTCACTTCATGTAAGTCATCTGCGAAGTAGCTGCTGCAGCCATCATGGCCACTTTCAAGGCTAGAACATGAAGGAAAAGGCAACTCCGGCACACTTGCGTTTTTTTTGGTTTTTTCTTTTTTTTTTTTTTTTTTTTGAGCCTCTTGTCACCAAGGCTGGAGTGCAATGGTGGGATCTCGGCTCACCACAACCTCTGCCTCCTCAGTTCAAGCAATTCTCCTGCCTCAGCCTCCTGAGTAGTTGGGATTACAGGCATGTGCCACCACGCTCAGCTAATTTTTGTATTTTTAGTAGAGACAGGGTTTCACCATGTTGGTCAGGATGGTCTCAAACTCCCAACCTCAGGTGGTCTGCCCTCCTCGGTGCCCCAAAGTGTTAGGATAATAGGCATGAGCCACCACTCCTGGCCTACACACTTTCCTTCTGAATGTCCCTTTTAACTGGGAGAAAGCCTTCCTAGAGGAGTCCTTGTGGTTGTTTTCCTGTTTCGTTAACCACCCTTGGGTCACACAGAGGCTGGGAAAGTGACTCTCAGGCAAAAGGGAATTGATAGTGATTCTAATACTGTATCAGTTTTTTTGTTTTTGTATTCCAGTGTTCTCTGCTGGGTGTAAGAATGGAAATTTGTTAGTGTAACACCATTTCCCCTCAATTCAACAATGATGTTTTCATCTTTTTTGTTTTAGGAGGTACATCCAGAAAACTGCATTATGATTTCAAATCCAAGTTGGACAAACTTTTTTTTTTACACAGACATCACCATGTTAGAAAAGTTGGACAAGTTTTGAAACCATTCTGATCCTATCCTTCTTGTCTTCCAATTCCTTCCAAGGCATCTTATTATTCATTTGTTACTAATTTTCCTCATTATTAAAGAGGTTGAGTATCTTTTTTCCAGAGCTAGTTTGGGTTCTGATTTTCTTCACTTTCCTGACAGAGTTATTTTAGAATTGAAGGGCATCATAGCAACTGAGGCAGTATTGACATCATCAATATTTTAGGATTACAGGTAACCATATTTCCCAGTTGACTTGAGACAGTGCCAGTTTATACCTCTTGTCATAGTGTGTGTGTGTGTGTGTGTGTGTGTGTGTGTGTGTGCGTGCGTGTGTGTTTTCTGAGACAGAGTCTTGCTCTGTTGCCCAGGCTGGAGTGCAGTGGCATGATCTTGGCTCACTGCAACCTCTGCCTCCCGGGCTCATGTGATTCTCTTGCCTCAGCCTCCTGAGTAGCTGGTATTACAGGCAAGCGCCATCACGCCTGACAAATTTTTGTATTTTTAGTAGAGACAGGGTTTCACCATGTTGGCCAGTCTAGTCTTGAACTCTTGACCTCAAGTGATCCTCCTGCCTTGACCTCCCAAAGTGATGGGATTATAGGTGTGAGCCACCGCACCTGGCCCTAGCATATTTTATAATAGGATTGCATTCAATCTTAAAAGTGTCTGAGTTTTGATGAAAAGTCATTTATTAGGCTGGGCGCCTGTAATCCCAGCTACTCAGGAGGCTGAGGCAGGATAATCACTGAACCCAGGAGGCAGAGGTTGCAGTGAGCCAAGATCAGGCCACTGCACTCCAGCCTGGGCAACAGAGCAAGACTCGGTCTCACCAGAAAAAAAAAAAGTCATTTATTATCTGAAATACACATCAAAATACCACTATTGGCATTTTACTCTGGTGTCTCCACCAGTGGGAGCAGGATCGTCGTAAAGGATGGGGTTTGTTCTGCCTCCTCCTCTGTTGTATCCCCAGAGCCCAGAACAGTACCCAGCACCCAGTAAGTGCTTAATAAATATGAATACATCTGTGCATAAATTCATTTCTTAGGACTTGGCACATTGCCACTTGAACAAATGGATTCTATTAACAAGGAATATGGAGCAATGATTTTGGGGTACACAACTCATGGTGCCTGCCAAAACATGCGTTTTAGATTTTGATAGATATCGTTAAGTTATTCTCCACAGGGATTGAGCCGGTTTACACTCCCACCAGCAATATGTGAGAGCATCTGTTTCTCTAACCTTCAACCACATGGTGTTATCAAAATTTTTATCTGTGCCAATCTGGTAGTTTAAATTTGCATTTCCTTTATTATGAAAAGATAGAGCATACTTTCATATGTTTAAAAGCCATCCGAAATTTCTAAGAACTGTCTGTTCATATCCTCTGCCCATTTTTTTTCCCAGTGAATTACTGGTCTTTTTCTTATCAATCTGTAGAAATACAAATAGTTGTTCTAAGGTTTTCATATCTTTGCATTTGTTTATGGTGTTGTAGTAAGCAGAATTTAAAACATGCATTTATATTTAGCTTTTTTCCTTTTATTGCATCTATATTTTGCATCAAGCTTAGAAAGACTTTCCCAGATTGTAAAATAATTCTCCCATATTTTCTTGTCTTACTTTCAAGTTTTCAGTTTTTTCTTATGTAAGTCTTTATCCATCTGAAATTTATTATGGTGTAAGAGTTGAGATGTGAATAAAATCTAATATTGTTTATTGAATAGCTCATCTTTTCCCCACTGGTGGAAACTCTGAAGAGTTCCTGATATTCAGAGACTATTTCCTATGAAACTTTTAACACTCTGCAAATTCTAAGGAAAGAAACTCAAGGGCAAAGCAGTCAGGATGAAATTTTAATTTGTAGTTTCATGTCTTCCACTTCCTCAATTTAGAATAATGCTATCTTTTATTAAGCATTTATGTATTAAGCATAATACCACAGAAGACTGTATAAAAATACAGACAATTTATAGAATAATGGTAAAATGAACACCCGTGTACTTATTATCCAGATGAACGCGTAAAACTTTGCCAGTGACTTGAAAATCCTCCGTGTGCTTTACTTTAATTGTTTTTCTTCTTCCTCCTCAAAAAGTAACCACTATTCTGATTTTTTGATAATTATTTCTGGCTTTACTTTATAGTTTTACTACCTATATGCATCCTTAAATACTATATTGTTTATTTATTTTTTATCTTTGATGAGAACAAAAAATATCTTTGTTGTTGTTGTTGTGTTTTGAGACAGGGTCTTGATCTGTTGCTCAGGCTGGAGTGTAGTGGCACAGTCACAGCTCATCACAGCCTTGACCTCCCAGGCTTCAGCGATCCTCCCACTTCAGCTCCCCAATCGGCTGGGACTACAGGCATGCACCATCATGCCCAGTGACTTTTTGTATTTTTTTGGTAGAGACAGGGTTTCACCATGTTGCCTAGGTTAGTCTTGAACTCCTGGACTCAAAAGATCTGCCTGCCTTGGCCTCCCAAAGTGCTAGGATTACAGGCGTGAGCCATGGCACTTGGCCTGTTTTTATTTTTTTGAGATGGGAATTTCGCTCTTGCTGCCCAAGCTGGAGTGCAATGGCGTGATTTCCGCTCAAAAATATTGCTTATTTTTGACAATAGAGTGGCAAGCCCAACCATTGCGACAGACTCTCTAAAGATAAGCTCTGGGCCAAGTGCAATGGCAGCATTCCTGAGAGAATACAAGAGCTCCTTTAGGGAAGTCTGCGGTCAGGGTCAAGAGTGAGTTCTGGGAAACAGGATATATCACAGCTGGGACATCTGGCGGGGCTGTAGTTTGGGTCAGGTAATGGATATCTGCAGAAACATATTCAAGAAGTGGGAGGCTCTCTATCTGCAGCTCCCAAGCTCTCACCTACTTTCAAGAAGAAATCGAAGAAAACCCCTTCTATGGGGTATAGGGTAAGGCAAATTTCCTCAGTTCAGGCAGCAGCATGTCATGGTGGGTGTGTTCATTTTCTATTGCCACATAATAATTATCACCAATGCAGTAGCTTAAAACAATACACATTTATTGTCTCATGGTTTCTTTCTTTCTGTTTTTCTTTTTTTTGAGAGGGAGTTTCCCTCTTGTTACCCAGGCTGGAGTGCAATGGCACGATTTTAGCTCACTGCAAACTCCGCCTCCTGAGTTCAAGTGATTCTCCTGCCTCAGCCTCCCAAGTAGCTGAGATTACAGGCATGTGCCACCTCCCCTGGCTAATTTTGTATTTTTAGTAGAGATGGGGTTTCTCCATGTTGGTCAGGCTGGTCTCAAACTCACAACCTCAGGTGATCCATCTGCCTTGGCCTCCGAAAGTGCTGGGATTAAGATGTGAGCCATTGTGCCCAGCTTCTTCTTCTTTTTTTTTTTTAGATGAAGTCTCACTCTGTCACCCAGACTGAGTGCAGTGGCATGATCTTGGCTTATTGCAACCTCCATCTTCGGGTTCAAGTGATTCTTCTGCCTCAGCCTCCTAAGTAGCTGGGACTACAGGTGTGCACCACTATGCCCAGCTAATTTTTTGTATTTTTAGTAGAGACGGGGTTTCACCATATTGGTCAGGCTGGTCTTGAACTCCTGACCTCGTGATCTGCCTGCCTCCTACTTTTGGGAGGCCTGCCTCGGCCTCCCAAAGTGCTGGGATTACAGGCATGATCCACTGTGCCCAGCCTCCTTTTTTTTTTTTTGAGATGGAGTTTTGCTCTTGTTGCCCAGGCTGGACTGCAATTATGCGATCTCAGCTCACTACAACCTCCACTTCCTGGGTTCAAGTGATTCTCCTCGGCCTCATGAGTACCTGGGACTACAGGCGCCTGCTACCATGCCCAACTAATTTTTTGTATTTTTAGTAGAGATGGGGGTTTCACTATGTTGGCCAGGCTGGTCTCGAAACCCTGACCTCAGGTATTCAC